TCCCGCCATACCTGCCCCTCCCACTCAGCGTGTTAATAGAGAAGCCCTCACTAGAGGGCATTCTAACAGTCCCCTTTCCCCCAGAGTCCGCACCCCCTACGGCACCATTAATAGCAACCGGACTGGTCTGCAACCCCCGTGGGTTTTCCCCCAAACCCACATAACCTCCCCCACCCTCAGAACCCCTTAAAAGTCTATTTAAAAAAGTCTTTAAAAAACCCCTCAATCCCCTTTTTGCGACATGCCACCTCTCGGGGTCCCAAGATCCGTCATTAAGGTGGGCCCTCGATAACATAGAGGGCCAGGCCTGCGAGAGGGGGGAATCTCGCAGCGCAAGAAGCTTTGCCCTAGAATACATTTTAACACTAGAGTGATAATACAAGTTTGGCCTAGACATGGCCTAGGGGTTTATAATGATGGTTTCAGATGTCCAGGAAGCAAGACTAAGTTAATCGGAAGAGTCGCCATTAACCTCTCACGGTAATGGGTAGGAGTCCTCAGCTGGAGTTCCCTCAGTCCAGCTGAGGGAAACTATCCAACCACCCTCTCACGGTGGTTGGCCATCCTAATCAAGGCAAGATGGAAAAAGTCCGAAAAAGTCCGAAAACCACCCTCTCACGGTGGTTTGGGCTTCCTGGCCCTGGAAAGATGAGTCCCATCCGTGGCGAACGAAGTCTGGAGCTGGCTCCATCCATCCTCCCGTAACTGCCTTGTCCTCCATACAGCTAGGAGACAGGACGAAAGACAGAGCCAGGTCCCAAACTCTGGGGAAGAAAGTCCACATTGGCCAATAGGCCGATAACAGGGCCAGAAAAAAAGGGGGGGGGAGGCCATCCATAGCGACCCAATACTTGAGCCATCCACCAGCCTCTCCAATCCCAGATCTTTCCATACAACCCTTAACATCAGCCATGTATCCTTCAACCCCTGAGCACAATGGGGTTCAGCTCCCCCATTTCAGTGTCAAGGCTTGATGTTCCTCTCCTCTCCTCCAACGCCAACAACTCTCCAGCTCTCCAGCACCACCACCCTCGACCTGGTTGCCACGCAGCAGCCGCCATCACCACAGCGTCGTCCTCGGCGCCGGCCACACCCAAGCTCCCAGCGTTCCCCAGCGCCCCCGGAACATCCAAAAGAAACCCCCAGGGGCGTCCAGGGTCAGGGGGGAGCTCGCTGGGCATCGCTGCCGCCGCCACCGCTGCCAACGCTCTGGCCACCGCCGCCTCAGCCAAGCAGGGAGGAAAAACGGCGGAGCCGATGCAGCCAGGCTGTTGGCGTTCAGCCTCGGTGTTCTTCCACCCGCGCCGTCTTCCGCTCGCTTCTCCCCAGCCACGAGGTTCCGGAGGGTGAAAAGGCCCTCATCAGGCTGGGGAGAGACTCCTCCAACTGGGAAAGGGGTTGCCGATGTTCATGGCAGCCCCAGAAGACCCCTGCCAGTCCACGAGCCGCCCATCCCTAGACGCGATTTAGACGGGCGTCGCCATCTTGGGGCATGCGCAGAAAACGAACTTCCTCAATAACCTCAACAAGTATTTCGTCCATGAGATTCTTGTTTCCAGAGTAGGTCTGTCTCACATAGCCTTACAATAGCATGGCTACAACTAAGCCAGCATTGATTTTACTTTCACTTTATTACTAAATACCATTATGTGAAAGCCTCAATTGTACAAAGCCATGAAGTGTGATGAAGAGCAATATCAATCGGCCAACCTGTATGGAAGATTATGATTTGGAATGTAAAAGAAACATATATGTTAAACAGCTTTTAACATAAGTATTTATAAATGCATTATATTTTTGTGAAACTACAAAATGGGTAAGTGTAATGATGGTGATATGATCTCGTTATTAATCAAGCTAGAGTTAAAGGTAAATAAATATGTAGGACTAAAGATGAAAGAGAATTTTCTAATTGATGTATGAAACAGTGCATGGATATAGGAAACTGAAAAAAATAGAACAAGCAGATAATTGGAAAACATCTAATCCATCTGTTAAAAACAAACTATTTTAATCCTATCAAGATAATGTGGATATAATTTTGTCTATTGTATTAGGCCACCAGAGTCAATTAAAGTTAAATTGGGGAGGATCATTTAATGGCATGAATGTCCAATTATAGCAGTTTATTTGATTTATTACACAATATAACAACAAATCAAACATACCGTGGTTGTGTTCAGAAAATTGTTACTTTTAAAATAATATTTTAAAAAAAATATATTCTACCATATCAACCTACATCAAAGTTAATCTGCATTAGTACTACTACTTAGTTATGGTAAAAAAAATCCTTATTTCATTGACCAATCTAATTTAACCTTTCTTAAACCTTGTTCTTCTTTTTCCTCATCAACATAAGATTCTAAAACTGAAGTAACACTATTGTCATGGCTCCACTTAAACTCTATGATTAACTGGACTGAAGGTATCATGGAAATATCTAACTTTTTTTAGAAAAAGGAGCTTCAGTATATTTAGTATAATTCAAGTGCCTGAAAAATCACCAAACCTTCATAGCATATTTCATCAATCCTATTATTTTACAGTAGTATTCCATGAAAGCATACTTGTTTAGATGTAATTTCTACTATTTCACTGAATTTGCCCATATATAAGTAAAACAGCATTGCACCTTTACTCTTATATCTAGATTTATGATGCAAAATATTTGTGATCTTTTTATTTTGTTTTTAGTTTTGAAATATGTATCTTACCATTTTTTCAAATGCATATATTGCCCAGTAACATTTCCTCTTTATATATTACCTTTTTATAAACTCTGCATTGCTGTAATCGTTGCAGATCTTTATTTGCTTCTTAAATCAAAGATTTAGCCCATCTCTTTTGTTATTTCTGTTTTCCTAATCCAATCTCAAAGTCATATTCTCTTTACAATCTTTGATAGCCAATAGAGTAGGAAAAAATTGATGTTAAGTAAGTTAAATAATGTTAAACCTTCCACTTTTCATGTTAGGAAGCCAAACCAAGGAAGTCAGCATTGTCCCACACTAGGAAGTTAAACCATAACATGATTTCACATTCAATATAAAACTATGTGAAAACATATGTGAATTTTTCTTGAAGCTATATAGCAAAGAAGTATTTATAATGTTTATGTGTGAAAATGCTCCAAATCCTAAAATCCAACATATATGTTTGATATTACTGTACAGTTTAAATAAGCATGAAAGACACCCAGTAAACCTGTGAATTATCACATAGATAAATCAAAAAAAGTTTAAAAACTGCTATTCCGGAAGTACAACTTTAGAATAAGGAAGCTATGGAATCTAGAAGTCTTATCAGGAAGTAGAATGTAGCTCTTTCCTCATTAACCACTTCTCTAGAGCAAAACTCTTTCTTAATCTGTGGACATCCCTGTTGTTTTTCAAATATACTTTGGAAATGATATGCAGTATAAAAAGTTTTCATACTTTTTCCTGACATGAGTTATCTGTTTCAAACTGCTTTATACCAAAGCTATTTCTTCCTAAAGAAAAGCAACCACACTTTGAAGGTGTGTATAATATAGATAACAATATGTAACATGCACATTGCAATTAACATAATCTGATTTTCAGGCATACATCTTGTGATACAGAATATTTTTGAGCAAGTTGTTGATACAGAGCAACAATTACACTATTTCTACATGAAGTCTTTGTCTTGATTTCAAAAGCAAGTTTGAACTTGATTCCACAAAATTTGGTATGTTAAAAAGATAGGCTGATTTATTTCTTGATTAACTCTGATGAATTTGAAACTGCAGTAAAGCTGATCTTGGAAATACTGCAGCTCTGCAGAGCTTCCAGCAGGTCAGTTTCACAATTGCAACAACCCTATCTTTCAACTCTTTCAAGGTGACCAGTTGCTTGATGGCTTTTCAGCTCTTCCTCATAGGAACCCATTGAAGGAAGCTGTACATAACCAATTATTATTTATTTATTAAATGTGTACACTTATCCATTTACCAAGTCTTTTTAACAATTAAGAATTCCCAATTGTTTATTCCCATCTTGGCAGTTGTAATAAGCTCTATATTTTTGATAAAATTCAAACTGAGATATATGACAATGTTAGTCTTTTGATCTAGCTAATAGAGAATGGATTAAAAACCACATACTTATGAACTATTGACAATTGATAGAAGGAAACAATTTGGCTCTAATTTGTTTAGAACAGAAGATGATTAATTTTGACTGTGAAGTTTTGTAGAACTGGGTCCGAAGTATATTAGCATGCTTTAAAAAAATTATTACATTGTATCTGCTAATTCACTTAAGCAGACATTTATCAGACTGCTTACAAAGGAGGGCAGTTGTAGTAAGGAGGTAGTTAACAGCTACCCAGGTGGCAGCAGCGATCTCATTCCCCAGCAGCTGAGGTGCTTGCCATTTGAACAGAGGCTGTTTTTGTCCTGTTCTACTGTATGGCATTAAAGAATGCGAGGGAACCTAACAAAATGGTAACTGCAGTTCTTTGTGTATGCGCGCACACCCGGATCTCGAAAATCTGAAAAGGGCTAGAATGCTGAAAGGGTGATTCCCGTTCTCCTTAAACCTTGGAAAGAAGCCATTCCGACATAAAAGTTGCTTCTTTGTGGACACTGCTTTGAAGAATTCATCTCCCTTTCAGAATATTTAAATGTTATGAATGCACTTATCCTTCCTAGTTAGACTGGGAAACTAATGAGATTCGTTTTGCAGGTAAATTTTAAATGGCGATGTATTCAGGGATCTCTTGCGTCGTCCGAGCTAACTTTTATAAAAGAAATCATGCCAAGAGACCAGCTCCCCTCCTGCCCCTGACTATGTCACTAAAATCTCCCCACTTGCCATTTTCCTCTCTCTCGTGTACTACAGCCCGTTTGCTGCCGATACTGCATGCACTACCAGGTGTCCATTCTAATCTGTTGGCAGGAAGGCGTGACACAAAGTTAAAAAAAAAAAGCCCTCACGCGTTTTGATCGGTGAAGGGGAATAAGAGCACGAATATGCGTGATGGAGAAATGGAGGAGGACCAAGAATTAGGAGAAAGCTAAGGAGGTGGGGTGGGGTGGAGGCATCAAACTCGGACACGATCCTGTTAAAACGTCAAACGGACATTTCTCTCCCCCCCTCCGGCAATCTATTAAGATTGGACAGACGCGCCTGGTTTCTCAAGCCAAAACGGTGCGCAGGCGCAGGTCGCTTCCTCAGTTAAAATGCTTTTGGACGTAGAAAGGGGATCACCCTCCTGTCTTCCCCTGTCTCGATATTTCCCTCACTTACTCTTTTTCTCTCCCTTGCTCTGCCTCTGTCATTTTTGGAATCCTCTTAATTTAACTCTCTCTCTATAATTATTATTAGGAAGATTTTTTTTTTAAATTTGCTTTTAAATTTGGTGGGAGGGTTGAGCTCTTATTGCTTCGACTAATTCCCTAGGAACCAGCATGCTTGTGTCTCCCTCCTACCACCGTATCTTCCAAATTGCCGCCTCTGATCAAACCAGCCTGTGGATCGAGTCTTTTGCCAATCCTCGTCTTTTGTCTCTCAGTCGTTCCTCTTTTTTGCTGGCTTTTCTGTCTTCGGACAAAGCCATTCGGGGATTGTAGCCCCTGCAAGCTGCAGCCTAGGAAAGCCGAGTGTGGGGGGCGAGAAGCTATTAGCTATGTAGTGCGAGCAGGGAACACCGCGCGTTGAATTAGAAGCAGCAGCAGCGGCAGCCCGGAGCCTAGTGAGAGTGACTTTGCGCCTCCGAAAGTCGCTCTGAGGCCATCGGAAAACAGGACCTCTCCGGCGGTTGCTGTTGCGTGTGGCGGCGGCTCAGCGGGTGGGCTGCCTCCGGGGACTGCTGCTCTCTTTTCGGTCGGCTTTCAGTGTCTAGAACCGCTTCTGCTCGCCACCCCCATTACCGCTTTCCCGCGTTCTCAAAAAAGCAGCAGCCGCCGCCCCCCTCCCGCCCCTCTTCCCCCGGTTTCTTTCCAGAGCTGAGCGACGGGAGCGACAGTGGCCGAAGCAGCGGAGGAGCTTTCCCTCTGCGGGGTTTATGAATGGCCCTGACATGGAAGAAATGCCGCTTCAGAAAGTCAAGAAGAGCAAAAAGACGAGGAAGAAGAAATGTTGCCGCCTCCGCCGCTGCTGCTGCTGTTGCTGCTGCTCCTCCACACCCGGCCCGCCGTTGGCGGCGCAGCCGCCGCCGCCACCACCTCCGTCGGCTGCAGGCAGTAGTAGCAGCACCTCCGGAGCTGTGGCCGCGGCAGTGAGAACTGTCGGAGAGGGTCCCCCGGTACCCTTCCTGGACGGCGTCGCCTGTGAGGACCAGTTCGACTGCAAGGAACTCGAGTCGCTCTTCCAGAATTACAATCTGAAGCTGGAACAGACGTCCACACTCAAAGCGCTGGCCGTGCTGATCGCGCTAACGGCCAGCTTGGCGCTGTTGGAGCTGCTTTCGGGCCCCAGCCTGACTATTTCCAAGGGCTCCCATCCGGTACACTGTATCATCTTCCTCTCCCTCTTCATTGTCACCAATGTTAAGTACCTGCAAGTCACACAGCTGCAGCAGATAGTGAAGCTCACCTTGCTTTTCAGCTTTACCTTCGCTTTCCTCTGCTGCCCTTTCTCGGTAGGCGCCTATGGCATGGAGCCACCCAGCGCCCCCGAGCAGGGTATGTGGCAGCTCATGCTGGTCATCTTCGTCTCCTACTCCCTTTTGCCCGTCCGCACTCTCCTGGCCATTGTCTTCGGTTTGATAGTGTCCGTCTCCCATCTCATAGTCACTGCCACTTCAGTCAGTGCCAAGAGGCAGCCCCTCTGGAAGACGGTGAGTAGGTTTCCCCCAAACAGTTCCTCACCAGGTTGTTCTTCAATCTTCAAGAGGGGGAAGGGGGAAAATGCTAAAAAATGTCCACAGTATAGTGTCTTCTGATAAGGATAGGGCAAACAAGCACAATCTGTTTCTTAAAAATTGTGACAGAGTGTACATTTTTAAAATAAGTTTATTTCTGGTATTCATTTTCAAGATTCTCATGAATGCAAACAGTCTTTGCAATCATACTATTCTATTAAACAAGTAGCAAATTTATTTTTCAAAAATTGTTTGACAAATTACATGTTTTGAAAATCTCTAACCAAAAGGCTTGGAATTGCAACATGATTTGCAGTTTATGATGTGAAGTGTTGTATGTTTTTTGGATATTGGATGCATGTGAAATTGCTTCTCTTACAGGTTAGAGCATAATATTTGTTGAGGGCAACTGGTAGAAGTAAGGAGTAGAGTTGATATTAGCATGAGCTCCTCTTAAATCATATATTAATGGTATCAATAACTGTTTTACATGTCTCAATAAGTATATATGCTATTTGTTTTCTAAGAACATAAAGGATATGATAAAGTGTTGAATTGGTACTCTGAAGCATATCTTTCTCTGTGAATATATGTGCAGCCATTATCCCATGCCTAATTTGGGGATATTTTAAATGAGACAAAAGTGGGTTGGGAGTAGAATATGGTGGATGGATCATTATTTTTTCTTCTTCCAATTGTGCCTAATTCTCAGAAACTGCATGAGCTACAGTTTTATGGGCAAGGTTTTTCAGAAGTGGTTTGCCATTGCCTCCTTTGTAGGGCTGAGAGAGAATGACAGGCCCAAGGTCACCCAGATTTGTACTTAAGAATTAGAATTCATGGTTTCCAAGATTCTATTCTGATGCCTTAACCACTACAACAAACTGATTCTATATTTTATATGTACATAAAATCAGCCAGCCAGCCAGTTGTAGAATTTGGGGTGACTCTGCCTGGAAAAAGAATAATTTGACTAATATTAAGCAACCTTCCAGAATGTTTTGAGACTATTGTGAAATACAGGAAGATTGCATTTTGTCATAAATTCTACTTTATTATATCCAGAGGTCACCCAACTGATTTTGTGCCTAAGGCAGGACTAGAATTCATGATCTTCCAGTTTCTAGTGTGATGGCTTACCCCCAGGATACAAGAAAGTTTGAATTAGGCTATCTGTGGGTTGACAGTGAGGAATTAATAATTAAGGAAATTACTTCTTTCTATGAAAACGTTAGAAAGGCAAACCACTAATTTTATTACTATTCAAATATAAATATTTGAACTGGGGGAAGGGATTTTGTGTGTTTCTGCATGTATTGTGTGTGTTTGTGTGCACACACGCATGCATGCATGCATATGTACCATCCCTTTCCCCAGTTTCCTGATATTTTCTTCCCCCTCATGTTCCTCCAAAGAGAAAATCCTTCCACACCACTGGTTTTATTACTATTCAAATATATATATTTGAACTGGGAAAAGATTTTTGTGTGTGTGCATGTATTGTGTGTACACACACACACACACACACACACACACACACACACCATCCCTTTCCCCAGTTTCCTGATATTTTCTTCCCCCCCTTGTTCCTTATCCCTATGACAAAATCCTTCCACCTGTCTTGGTTTTTCTATTGGATCCTTCTTAGTGGCAACAGATTTTTCTTTCACACTCTATGTATAATATCATTCTGTTTAACTTCTTAAGTCATTTTCTTTCCTGAATAATTTGTTCAAAAAGCTGCTCTGCACCATCTTTAGGAATGTGCTATTTCCCCTCCCCCTGCCTCAGAAAAAGCTATTTATAGTTCTTCAGGGCTTCCTCAGGTGTCTACAGATTTACACACTTGTACTGTGAATAAAAGAAAAGAATAGGGATGGTTTGCAGGTTTGAGTTTGCTGGACCAGCATGTTAACAAGGCTAGTTTCCATATATAATTTTATATCTATTTTGAATCTAAGGTGAAAGAGCTTAAAGAAAGATGGGCATCTATTTACTGTTGTGTTTGACAGTGCACAGATTGTTTTTTAAAGAGAGAATAGAGAATCTATTTTGATCAGAGAATACTACAAAAGGAAACAACCTTCTATTGTGCTTTCTGAGGTTGTTTTCCTTGACTGAATATATTGTCATGACACACAAATATAAACACCCTCTACCACAACCATGAACATAACCCACAAGCGTAGGCATTAAATCATGCCTATGGTTTGTAGCAAGTTTTTGTTCTGCATTTTTACCCATAAAGTTGACATGTATGTATGTACCTCAATGAAATATATGTAGCCAGACAATTTATACAGGATTACTCTTTGCCCACTGCTTTTGAACTGATTGACAAAATAAATTGTATATTTTTCAAGGGGAGGGAGGGAGGGAGAGAGAGAGGAGAGAGAGAGACAGAGAGATAAGCTGAGCATTATGATTTGTCCAGATAATCTAGTAGTCTATTTTTAAATTCATGATTTACAGATTCAATGAAGGGAAAATATGTGGGCAATTGAAATTTAAACAGTAATTAAGAATTTTCAAATAAATCACTAGTTTTCAAAGCAATTGTACTATAAAATATAACAAGAAACCCTTAAACATTTCATTTGAAAAGCAAATGAAGATGTTTGATAGCATATAATGTCTTTGAAAAATAGATGGAGCAAAGTTTTTCTTTGTTTGAATATCATAAAAAGATAACCATTTCTCTTTCCAGTGTTTTCAGCTAGTATGTTTAGTAATCAATTTACAACTGTTTTGCCTTGTTTCTCCTCTCATCTATTTATTAAGGAAGTAAATACATCTCCCTTATAATAGGTGAACAGTTTTGATTTAATTATATTTACTCATAAGAAACTCCACAGAGAAATGTGACTCCCTTCTTAATAAAAAGATTTAAGATTTCTCCAAATCTAAGTCATTAAAGTATCGGTTGTTCCATCTGATTTCACATTTAGCACATCACTGCTAAAATTTTTGCATTATGGATAGGATGAATCCTTTTGCTCAATTTTCAGCCCACTAGACGTTTTGTATGTTTCTTTTATATCAGTGTTAACTGGAAACACTGGAAAGAAAAATAGTTATGGAAACTCTAAACTAAGGTAGCTTAGGGCCAGTCTCAGACCTCTTTTTGGCTGGAGGCACTGAATAATTTGGACTCAGTGGATCCAAAACCTGAGGCAAAATCATCTTTAGTTGGGACATTCCAATGAAATCACCATCATCAGGACATTTCTTGTAGCATTTTCGACAGATGGAACTGATCCACAAAAACAGGTGAATGTAACACTCCCACTCTTTTTCTCCAGTACGATTTCTTTCCAATCTAATTTTTGGTTGGTAGCTGTGTCATTAGATCCTGATTTCAATAGGATTTAGGCCACCTAATTGGATGTAGAATTTCCATATAAGAATCATTTTCATTCAAATATACATGTAAATAACCTGGTTTAAATCAATTTAGTTTGCTCATGGCAAACGTGTTTTATATGCTGCTTCAAGAAAGAGAACTTTCATTTTTATTTGTTTATTCATTTAATTATCCAATTTAAATACCACTTTCCTTGCGGTGTTGCTGCTGCTCCTCCCCATCCTGGGATGTTAAATTATTTTTGATAATATTAGATAGCTTAGTTTTAACCAGTTGAAGGAAACTTGATGATTTGACATATATAACATATACGGGGCCAGCATGACTATGCTGAGTCACATGGAATGCTGTTACCTTCCCACCAAAATGGTACCTATTTATCTACTTGCATTTGCATTCTTTCGAACTGCTTGGTTAGTTCGAACCAAGGCTACTGGGGCAAAGCAGTAGCTCATCCATAATGGAATACTTGATTTCCAACTGCCAACATCCAACTGCCAATGAAATTGTATGTATGTATGTACATACTAGATTTGCTAAGGCCAATTCCAATAAGACTCTGGGTGAATCACAATATATCCATTAAATTAGAAAGCAACTGCCCAGATTATGCCTGGTTTCCAGAAGATGGCATTGTTTTTTACTATTATTCTTTTATAGCAAAGGATATCACATCTGTGTTAAATAACTCATGCTATACAGTAGGAAAATAAAGAATCAATATTTTATGTTATTTAATCCTCAGGTATTTTTATGGAAGTTAAGAACTAAAATGGAAGAATAGTTTAAATAAAACAGAGCAATTTGTGTATGCTTTTTCCCCTTATACTTTTTGCAAAAGGGAGTAGACATTTGATTTAATAATCAAGTATGGCATCTCAATTTGCAACCAAATAGTCATCCCTAACGCAGTTGAATTTATCCCTTATATATGTTATCAGTGCATTAATAGTATCTCCAGGATTTTAAGGGCTCCCAGACAAAACATCTCCATGAATCCCTTAATTTGAAAGACTATCAGAATGGTTCCTGAGATTCATGCTGGATCTATCAAGGGTTCTGTGCAGAGATGAAGTGGATTTTCTTATAGCCAGTGTTCCAATAAGTACCTCAGGTGAGGCCTGTTTAAAATGATATTCATTCCACATCTGAAAATGGAAGATTCAGTCAGGTCCAGAAATATTGGGACATCAACACAATTCTAACATCTTTGGCTCTATACACCACCACAATGGAGTTGGAATGAAACAAACACAATGTGCTTTAACTGCAGACTGTCAGCTTTAATTTGAGGGTATGTACATCCAACTCAGGTGAATGGTGTAGGACTTACAGCAGTTTGCATATGTACCTCCCACTTGTTAAGGGACCAAAGGTAATGGGACAATTGGCTTCTCAGCTGTTCCATGGCCAGGTGTATGATATTCCCTCATTACCCCAATTACAATATGCAGATAAAAGGCCCAGAGTTCATTTCAAGTGTGCTATTTGCATTTGGAATCTGTTGCTGTCAACTCTCAAGATGAGATCCAAAGAGCTGTCACTATCAGTGAAGCAAGCCATCATTAGACTGAAAAAACAAAACAAACCCATCAGAGAGATAGCAAGAACA